TTAGATATTATTTCCAAGGCTTGTTATGAGGGAGAGGGCAGGGATGCAGGATAACATTTTTGGGTGGACGGGGGAGAGTGATGGCTCTAGACAAATTGGCAAACTTGCATGGTAGTTTTTCCCCCATTATCTTTGATGCCACTACCTGAATATGAATATCATAGTTCAGCAAAAAAGTGAGGGAGCTTTAGCCCCCCAGCCCCCGGCGCCGGCGTACCTTGGTGAAGAAAGGTGGGTCAATGGCTTCACTACTTTTTTTAAGGTCTTTTATTATGGGTCTTTAACTTTCCCAATTGTCCCTTAGCTTCCTAACTTGCATCGAAGCCCCTGATCTTGACCCGTCAGCCAAATAAAATAGTTTTTTCTACATAAATTTTTTATAAGAACTATTTTATAAGAACACGAGCCTTGAAATTGATCGGAGTTAAGAACAAATTAAGAAAAAGCTGAGGCTGAGGTACTGTAAAATGTAATTTATATTTATATTCTATTTTATTTTGTTTTAATTTGTTTTAGTACCACCTTACATTTCATATTGTTTTTAGTACATTTATACGTAGTTAGATTTATGTATAAGGTTCACGAATCCGTTCTTTTTTTCTCATGTTTAATGGCTCCAGGGTAGACATAGTACTTTGCTCTTGGGGTATTGTCCTGAAAGTGTTGTAAAGCAATTTCCTGTATGTAAAGTATTTTGCAATATGCACTTGTGACATTTTTATTGAATGTAATTTTTGAACACAGTCTTCAGATCCCTTGAAAAATCTCATCTCAAATGCAAAGATTTTTTGCCACCTAGGATGCTCCAATTACTTTGTCGGTGAATGAGGCCTGAACATCCCGCTAACAAGAGCAAGCAGCTGCACTGCTTGCAACCTAAGCCTTTCTATGGCCAAGCTATCGTGATTGTTTTAGTAAACTAACATTCGTAACACTTGATGTAATACATTATTTTAATAAGAACCAGTAAATTGAAATTCAGACTGATTGTTTTTAATCTTTTCAAAATCTTTGGGCTGGGTTGTTCTTTCTTTTATTTCAAAATTATTAGGCCGTAAGCAGTAAAATCACTAACTATAGAGTTCTAAAGTGACGACGTCACAAAAATCTATTTTTAAAGTATTTTAGTTTGGATCCCATAACCTGAAAGGGCATTATGAAATACCTCTAAATGCGCAAAATCAGGCAAGTGTGTTACGAATTGGCAGAGATATGGCCACATGTCTATGAGCCAAAATAACAGTGATTCGTTAGCAAACTTCAAGTCTTTCATTAGCCATATCTCAACCGATTTTAGACATATTTGGCCAATTTTGCGTATTTGGAAGTATTTCATGGTGATCTTTTACGCTATGTGGTTTAAATTCAAAAATTCCAAAAATAGGTTTTTGATGACGTCACACTTTAGAACTCTATTGTGCTCAAGGGGAGTGTTCAGGCCTCATTTGCCAACAAAGTGAGTGAGCCATTTTTATTTGCCAACAAGTTTTAAAATTCGCCGAAAAAAACACCCAAAGCTGGCAGAAAGCTTGTCATTTGAGTGATGGAACTTTCTGACTGGATTTCACAACTTTGTTTGAATTAGATTTTACACACCACATCAGCCTCATTTTGTTCTTAATAAGGCTGATCGCATGCGTTTCATGTATGTTTAACTTCTTCTTTGCTGGCATCAGTTTGAAAATGAAAAGTTTTCCGTCACGTTATTTTCTTTTGTCCGTTTTCAACCTTATTTGATCCAAGGTACAATTTTTTCATAACAACAAATCACGAGACACCCTACCAAAAGACAATGTTAAAAAATGAAACTCTGTCGCCTACACTCACAATAAATATTTGTTCTCATCGAAGTGTCTTGAATAAGACTTTATTCACTCAGTGTGAGATATGGGCCTTTTTAGATGAAAACAGAGTCGATTTCCTGGCAGGAATGGAAGAAAGGCGCCATTTTTTCATTTTTTCAATTTTTCAGACCAATTAGTTGAATTTGGATAATTTTCCAAGGCACACCCGACAATAACTCACGGCAGTGACCACACACTAGTGTGCCGCGGTGCAGTGGTTGAAAAACGCTGCTTTGTAGCAACAGGGAACGCCAATTTTATTAGTAGGACACGCTCATGACCAGCATTCGGTTAGTAGGAAGCTTGAAATCATAGAATCACACCACAAATAATACTTTGACAAAATTTTACCGCCCTTCTCATTCTTAAGATTTTCTCTTCTAACTTAGACGAAATACACGAAAGCTTTGGGGGGGGGGCGTGTCTCCCAATGCTCCCATAGCGCTGCCATTGCTTCTAAGAATGAGATGAGAGAATTGTTATAATGCGTTTTAATACATTTTTTTCTATTCTTCTTTAAAGATGTATGTTTCTATTTGTATAACAATCAACCTATGATTTAACATATCCTACTGTATCCTTGGATTGCATTACCCTGGGCACCAGACTCATATTATATTTTATGTATAGTGAGTCTGGTACCCAGGGTAGGATTACATATACCCGGGGGGGGCTTATTTATTTTTTTCAGTCCTAGAGGGGGGACTTAAAAGAGAAAGGGGCTTATTAGAGAGGGGGTATCATTGATAATTCAATGTAAAAAATGTTATAAAAATGCTGTTATTCATTTTTTGTTAGGAAAATGTCACCTGCATTGCAGGACATCACATGACGATTGCATCATAATTTGTCACGTGTGTTCATTTTTATTACGTAATTATTATTTTAGGTGCTGGTATTAGCTTGCAGAACCGTGTTTGCCATTACATGGCCATCGTTAGCTGTTTAAGATAGTTTTAGTCGTTTGCCGTGAACTGATGAATTAGAAGAAGTGTAAAACATTAGAGAATTGGAGAACAGTTTTTGCCTTATTTATTGTGTACGTTTCAGAGAACGATCTACAAACTCACGTCTGTAAAACCCCCTTTTTAAGTGGTTTTACGCATCTTCTTAACAAATCTAGACCGTCCTCTAAGGCGCACAAGTACTTGAAAGCTAGGGGTCTGGAGCACAGGCTAGTATCAATGAGGTGTATAGAATACGCGTAGAATGCACATTTACATGGGCCAAACTTAATGCACAATATCTTATCGTCATCACACTCATCAAGAGACCTATTTAATGCACATGTTTTCTTTATTTGATATCAGTGGCTCAAGAGGGGGCCTAATAAAGAGGGGGCTTCTTTTAAATTTTGCTTGATAAGGAGGGGCTTAATAGAGCGGGGGGCTTAAAAGAGAGGGGAGCTTAATAGAGCTTTTACGGTATTTGTGTTTGCTGGCTTAAACTTTCTTCAATTGGACTGTTATTTAATTTTGTGATAAAAAAATTCAGTTCTTGAATTTTTCATCATAATGTATTGCATTTCAATTCTCCCTTAAGAATGTACAGGCAAGATTGGGACATTGTTCAATTTTAAAAGATGCAAATTTATTTCTAAATAGAAGATGATCCTGAATTGGTTCCCTCTCCACTAGCCCCTTGCCCCGGCTTTTAGAAAATGTCCCTTTTCTAGGATTTAATCTCTTTAAGGTTTTTTGGAAAAGTGTCCCTTTTTCTTAGCCACAGTGTCCGCCCCTTCTAATATGTGCCCCTCCGACGTCCCTTAGTATTATATACAGTACTCTTTCAGAGACAATAACACCTTTTATTTAGAGCGAATCATCTAGAAGCATCGTGGCTTTAGTTTTTAGCTTCACTGCCAATACAAAAATAGGCTTGTCTGTTTGGGTGTGGTTGATTGAGGTTTTGAATTTATTATTTCTTTTTAATTGATGCCCAACAGTATTATTTATCTGAAGAAGCGTTTAAAACATAAAACTATTCTCCATCTTCGACACCCTACGAAAGTAAAAGTCTCTCCGAAAATCGTAATATTATTTGTGATTCCTCCCCGAACAAACTGCACTGATCTCTTCCAAGATAACGATAAGGCGCATGTCCCCTCTGACCCAGTATCAACAATGCCCCTGAAAGCTGAAAATTACGACGATCTGCTTTTGAAAATATTTAAGGAATCAGGCATTCGCTTCACTGCTGGTGACAGGAGTAACATTTTGTATAAATACCAAAATGCCTACTATTACAGCAAAAGGTTATAGCCCAGTGTTACTCCTGGCCTGGTTTTGTCGCTGGCTCATATTAACTTTATCTCAGTATATCATCTCAAATTATTTTCTGCGTTCACTAATTTGTGATAGCTTATCGTGGAAAAGGAGATCATGGTGACGAGAAGTCGGGGGAAGATTTAGTCACTTGTAAAACTTTTCCCCAACCAATTTACAGAATTATTCGCTTTTACTGGATTAATATGTCAAGCATGCAATAGAATTGAAATTCACCTATTCGGTTTAACAACAGAAATTTAATTAAACCTAGTCAACAACAAAAGTTTTAAGGGCCAAAAGGGTCTTAAAAAATCAGGGGAAAATGCTACTTG